AAATAACTAAAAATTGCATCTCACAAGGGGAGGGGCACTAGTATAATTCACTAATTGTGATACGGGGACAAACTATCAAAACAATTGACCCCATTTCTGACTGACTTTCTACCCCACTAGGACATCACACAAGCGATAAACACCCGAGGACACAAAGTGCCACTATGTGGATGAGGATCACCGTGGAGAGGTCCCACAAACCGCGTTCAGACAATTGGCCATATTTATGGACAACCTTCAACGCAAAAGTAGGAAGTGAAAAAGTGTACGGAATAACGGGTGGATATGGACTAGGAGAAAAGAATGTGAGAGGTGATAGATTAAAAGCATGGGCTGAGTCGCGCAGCATGATAATAGGTAACACCTGGTTTAAACACCATCCTCGAAGATTGTGGACTTGGAAAAGTCCTGGTGATAATGTCCGCAATCAGATTGATTATATTTTGATTTCAAGAAGATTTTAGAGCAGCTTAGTTGGAGCTAAAACTAGACCAGGGGCAGACTGCTTTAGTGACCATGTTCCAGTTGTAGGAAAAATTAGAATAAAACTAAAGAACATTAAAAAAAACACCACAGAACATCAAGTTAAATTTAGGAATTCTTAGAACGGATAAAGAAATTAAGGAACAGTACAACGTCACTGTACAAAACCGGTATAATGCAATGGAAATTATACAAACAATTGATGAACAGTGGGATATGTTGCGTGAGTCAATTCAGCAGACATCAAAAGAGACAATCCCACCAACCCATACAGTTGCAAAAAAGAAATGGATTTCAACCGAAATTCTGCAGTTGATGGATGAAAGAAGGAAGAAAAAGAATGATAAAGAAGAATACTCTAGAATACAAAAAGAAATAGTGAACAAATGCAAAGTGGCTAAAGAAGCCTGGCTGAATCAAATGTGTACAGAGATTGGGGAAAATCACGGGAAAGACTCACATTCCATGTACCAACAGATAAATATGTTAACAGGAAAGATGACACGTAACAGCACTGGATGTTTGATATCAAAGGATGGTGACTTATTAATGGGACATAGTAATATAATTAACAGATGGACAGAGTATATAGGGGAATTGTATGATGATAATAGACCAGACGTAGAACTGCAGAACAACAATGATGGTCCACCAATAATGACTGCAGAAGTTGAGGATGCAATACATCATATGAAGAAAGGAAAAGCACCCGGGCCAGACAACATCTCACTGGAAGAAATCGAAGCACTGGGAAATTTTGGAATTGAAATAATAACTAAACTTTTAAATGATATTTATAACAGTGGGTATATTCCAAATGACCTTTTAAAATCCATATTTATAGCTCTGCCGAAGAAACCAGGCACTTTAAAATGTGAAGACCATCGCACAATAAGTCTTATGAGTCACATGACTAAGATTTTACTGAGAATAATTATGAGAAGAATAAGAAACAAAATTAAACCAGAAATCAGCGATGAACAATGTGGATTTGTAGAAGGAAAAGGTACAAACAATGCCATATACATCCTAAGGACATTGTCAGAAAGAGCTATAGAAGTAAAGACTGATTTGTACTTATGCTTCATAGACTATACAAAAGCATTTGTCTGTGTGAAGCATGAAGAAGTAATCAAACTGTTAGAAAAATTAAACATTGATGGGAAAGATCTAAGAATAATAAAGAATATGTATTGGCAGCAAACAGCAGCTATAAGAATTAACAACTGTTTAGGTACATTTCAAAGCATAAAGAGGGGCGTACGACAAGGATGTGTACTTTCACCTGATTTGCTTTCAATATACAGTGAATATAGTATGAGATCTTTAATTGATATGCCCGAATCGTGGTTGGTGGGCACAATATAAACAATTTACGTTATGCTGATGACACAGTCTTGATAACAACAAGTCAGAAAGAATTACAGGAAATGATAGACATTGTGGTGTTAGAAAGTGGAAGAATGGGCCTCAGTTTGAATAATGGGAAGACAGAAGTAATGGTGGTATCAAAGAAACAAATTATTCCTAAATGTGTAATAAAAGTCAATGGTGTTATTTTAAGACAAGTACAGAAATTTAAGTATCTGGGCACATGGATAACATCAGATGGAAGATGCATAACTGAAATAAGAAACAGAATTGGACAGGCAAAAACTGCATTTTATAAAATGAAAAACATCTTGTGCAATATATCCTTGTCATTGAGAGTTAGAAAAAGAATTCTTGCTTGCTACATACATCCAGTTTTAACATATGGATGTGAATCCTGGACAATCGGTAGGCAGGCCAAACAATTTTTGGAGGCCTCAGAGATGTGGTTTTACAGAAGAATGCTTAGAATACCTTGGACAGCCAAAAAGAGCAACCAAGAGGTTTTAAAAGAGGCGGGAGACCGAAGACAACTTATCACTGACATCAGAAGGAGACAGTCATCATTTTTCGGCCATGTTATGAGAAGAGGGAAAATAGAACATGTTGTGACCACTGGAAAGATCTGTGGAAGGAGGGATAGAGGAAGACAACGAGAGAAGATGCTTGCCAGTCTTGTTGCACGTCATGGAGGTGTGTCGGCGCACGAACTGATACATGCTGCAGGAAATCGCGGATTATGGAGAGGCATGATCGCCCACGCCACTCGGCAAGGCACCTGATGATGATGATGGACAACCTATATTGCGGCCCCTGGCAAAAGCCAGAGTGGGGCTTCAAATACCATCCAATTTTTATACCTTTTCATTTGATAAAGACATATGTATATATAATGTAAAACATTTGTTTAAGTGGATTTCTTGCATTCATCCACAGACTCCGACAAAATCACCTCACAGACGGGCCAAAGACAGACAGGTGGGTAGCACCCCTTTGTTCTAATTCTCCATTATCAAAGTTACAATAATATCACCCGTTGTCACGGCAACACATCAAGCCGCCATGTCCAAAGCTCCCAGTGTAACCAAAGATAACAAGCGCAAGAAATTAATTTCCGATTCCCCAGATAGAAAAAACATAACTGAGGTTTCGCTAAGCCATGATCTGGACAGGAAGGGCAGATCGAGCAGTTCAGAAGCTGAAGCAGAGGTTACTGTTTTTTAAATGACAGCAAATTGACGTCGGTGTTTTGTAAACTTCTTGTGAATTGTGACTCGGCGCAGATTATTATGACTAGACTAAATATAAATTTAAAATAATTCGGTTTTATTACACTGTAGAAGTATTATAATGAAAACAAAGAGTTATGGGAAAGCTCGAAGAACCTAAATTAAATAGACAAAAGTACTACAAGTTTAATAAATTACCAGTGACAGCTTACTCACTGTAGATCAAGCTTATGAAGAGGTGCCATTGTGAAAATGTAGGTTACTATGGTGATAACGGTTACATGATTACCACTCTTGTCTCTATATGTTGTCACAGCAGCAAGCCATTTAGCGCTCCCCCCCCTTTTCAGCCCCCACCTGCAACCACGTATAAGGTTTACCAGTTGTCTAAAACTAAAAGCTTTCAAGTTATTCTCTTCTCAGAACCAAATAAACACACTAGGGGAAGTCAGCAAGTAAGTCACACATGGTGATGGGATGGCAGCAACATGCACCTGGTGGTTTCTAAAGGTTTCATTAGGTGACAGCAACATGCAACTTGATGTCTCCATTTGTTAGTTAGCGCTAGGTGTTGCATACACATTTGCAGTTTTATACCAGCATTTCATTGTTTGATACCAGAATTTTATTGGGCTCTCCTCTAAACTACGGCCGGCAGACAACAGTAGATGGCCGGTTAGCCGGAGTTCAGTCCCTTGGCTACAGAGCAATTACGGACTGGAGAAGGCACGAATAAGAAAACACAGTGAGGTCGACATGCCTAACAGACCCCGTGCTGCGACTCAAATTAGCGACCGCGTTCAATTAGCGCTTCTTGCGACGCATTACGGAGTGGAATAGAGGGAACACAACAAGTGACATAGTTACTATGTGTTGGCGATAGCGTGCAGTGCCCTACTGTCATCATACGTTACAGTGTGGGTTAGGGTTTGGGTAAGGGTTAGGGTAAGGGTTAGGGTTTAGGTTAGGGTTAGGGGTAGGGGAAAGGTTTGGGTTAGGTTTAGGGTTAGGGTTAGGGGTAGGGGTAAGGTTTGGGTTAGGGTTAGGGTTAGGGTTTGGGTTGCTACTATGAGTTTGTGCGAAGACGAGATGCGACGACACTTACCGTAACCCTAACCCACACCCTAACCCTAACCCTAAACCTAACCCACACCCTAACCCTAACCCTAACCCTAACCCAAACCCTAACCCTTACCCAAACCCTAACCCTAAACCTAACCCAAACCTTTCCCCTACCCCTAACCCTAACCCTAAACCTAACCCACACCCTACCCCTAACCCTAAACCACACTCTAACCCTAACCCTAACCCTAAACCTAACCCACACCTTACCCCTAACCCTAACCCTAACCCAAACCGTAACCATATGATTATAGCAGGGCAGTGCACGCTGTCTATCGCCAACACACAGTAATAGTGTCATCTGTTTCGTTTCCTCCTTTCCACTCCGTAATTGCACTGCAGCAAGGGGACAGAACTTCGACTAACCGGCAGTCTACTGTTGTCTACCGGCCGTAGTTTAAAGGAGAGCCTTTTATTGTTTTATACCAGGATTTTATTGTTTGATACCAGCGTCTTGTCTTATGACTAGGTTTTGTCTACATGTAATGTTACACTCTCAGGAATGTTGCAGCAGTTGTGGGTACTGGTGATAATTGATCGTGATGATGTAACACAGGTGCTTGCACTGTGAGCTATTGTGTGTGTGTGTCCCTTTACACCCATGTCAACCCAGCCTGTTATCAGCACTAGGAAATGTTTTGGAAAATAAAAGCGGCTGCCATGACATCAAGCCCATAGCAAATAAGAGTTGATTGTTCTGAAAAACAAAACATAGGACTAGTTGGTTATACAGTTATGCTTCAAGTCAAGCAATGAGCCCTGTTAAAAAAAAACTGAATTTAAATTTTTGCACAGACGGAGTGTTCCAGTGAACAAGATTCAGTCCTGGCATATGTGCAACTCTCCAAGGAAGAAAGTGAACAAATGTTACTAATGAACGTACATGAAATTCAGAGGTAATTCTCCTTTCCACATAATTCACATTTGATTACATTCACTTATGAAGGTATGAGAACAGTAGGCTACAAGACAAGAGGCCAACTAAGAAAGAGATGGCAGAGAATATAAAAGTGACATTACAGAAACACAGTATACCATTAACACAAGCTACACAACTAGTAGAAGACAAGAATCTCATGTAACTCATCTCTGTGAAGCTTTAGGGTATAGGCAGTAGAACAGTATAGGCAGTAGAACAAAAGTGGGTATATATCACCTGTGTGGGTCCATCACATGTGTAGGTATATATCACAGGTGTGGGTGTATATCACAGGTGGGTATATATCACATATATGGGGACATATCACAAGCATGGGTATATTTCACAGGTGGGTATATATCATATGTGTGGGTGTATATCACAGGTGTGGGTGTATATCACAGGTGGGTATATATCACAGGTGTGGGTGTATATCACATGTGTGGGTGTATATCACATGTGTGGGTGTATATCACAGGTGTGGGTGTATATCACAGGTGTGGGTGTATATCACATGTGTAGGTATATATCACAGGTGTGGGTATATATCACAGGTGGGTATATATCACAGGTGTGTATATATCACAGGTGTGGGTGTATATCACAGGTGTGGGTGTATATCACAGGTGGGTATATATCACAGGTGGGTATATATCACAGGTGTGGGTGTATATCACAGGTGGGTATATATAACATATGTAGGTATATATCACAGGTGTGAGTATATATCACAGGTGGGTATATATCACAGGTGGGTATATATCACAGGTGGGTATATATCACAGGTGTGGGTGTATATCACAGGTGTGGGTGTATATCACAGGTGGGTATATATCACATGTGTAGGTATATATCACAGGTGTGGGTGTATATCACAGGTGGGTATATATCACAGGTGGGTATATATCACAGGTGTGGGTGTATATCACAGGTGTGGGTGTATATCACAGGTGTGGGTGTATATCACAGGTGGGTATATATCACATGTGTAGGTATATATCACAGGTGTGGGTATATATCACAGGTGGGTATATATCACATGTATGAGGACATATCACAAGCATGGGTATATTTCATAGGTGGGTATATATCACAGGTGTGGGTGTATATCACAGGTGTGGGTGTATATCACAGGTGTGGGTGTATATCACAGGTGTGGGTGTATATCACAGGTGTGGGTGTATATCACAGTGTTTGGGGGTGTGGGTAAATATCACAAGCATTGGTATATATCACAGGTGTGGGTATATATCACATGTGTGGGTGTATATCACAGGTGTGGGTGTATATCACAGGTGTGTATATATCACAGTGTGTGGGGGTGTGGGTAAATATCACAAGCATGGGTATATATCACAGGTGTGGGTATATATCACATGTGTGGGTGTATATCACATGTGTGGGTGTATATCACAGGTGTGTATATATCACAGTGTGTGGGGGTGTGGGTACATATCACAAGCATGGGTATATATCACAGGTGTGGGTATATATCACATGTGTGGGTGTATATCACAGGTGTGGGTGTATATCACAGGTGGGTATATATCACAGTGTGTGGGGGTGTGGGTATATATCACAGGTGTGGGTGTATATCACAGGTGCGTATATATCACAGTGTGTGGGGGTGTGGGTATATTTCACAAGCATGGGTATGTATCACAGGTGTGGGTATATATCACATGTGTGGGTGTATATCACAGGTGAGTATATATCACAGTGTGTGGGGGTGTGGGTATATATCACATGTGTGGGTATATATCACAGGTGTGGGTGTATATCACAGGTGGGTATATATCACAGTGTGTGGGGCTGTGGGTATATATCACAACTGTGGTTATATATCAGTTTTAGGTATTTATATCACAGGTGTGGGTATATATCACATATGTTGGAAAATATATATCAGGTGTGGGTAAGTATCACAGGTGTGGGTATATGTCAGCGGTGGGTATATATCACAGGTGTGGGTATATATCACAGGTGTGGGTATATATATATATATCATAGGTTTAGTTTAGTCAACGGATCAACATCGTGGCAACCTGTGATATACCTAACAATTGCAGGAGCAGTACTTCAGGCACTCCAATGTGAAAAATTACCAGTTAAACAAAAACTATTCTCCAAACTAGGAAACTGGTGTAAAGTAACTATGCAGTGGATACCATCCCACTGTGGAGCTCATGGAAATGAAAGAGCTGATAAACTAGCAAAGGAAGGTGCTGATAAAGAACAACCTGACATACCAGTCTTTTATCAACAGACGAAGAGAATAATCAAATCATTCAGAAAGCCAAGTTATTATTCTTTTCTTTAGAACAGGACACAATCGACTCCACAGCCACGTGTACACAGAATTTAAAATCTGCGAATCAGCCACGTGTACACAGAATTTAAAATCTGCGAATCAGCCACGTGTACACAGAATTTAAAATCTGCGAATCAGCCACGTGTACACAGAATTTAAAATCTGCGAATCAGCCATGTGTACTTGTGGACTGGCACCTGAGACAACAGATCACTTCCTCAACAAACTTTCCCAATTACAGAATATCAAGGCACAACTTTTGGCCAAAAGAAACACAGCGGTACAAGCCAAACTTTAGGGGTCGCTGAGTAAATTACAAAAGACAGTGAAGTTTATACTAGAGACAACATTGCAGATATAGATAATCTATTTCAAGTTAACGAAAGAGGAAGAAGAAGTAGCTATATTACAGGTGCTCCATCTGAATTTATTTATAATGTCTCCAAAAGTGAACAGAACTGTCTTGAATGGGTGGTTGTTGCTAGGCTTGTCTTGGTTGTTGCTGGGCTTATCTTGGTTGTTGCTGGGCTTGTCTTGGTTGTTGCTGGGCTTGTCTTGGTTGTTGCTGGGCTTGTCATGACACTCACACACACACACACACATACACAGACACACATACACAGACACACACATGTGGGTTGCACACTACACACACACACAACACACACCCACATGCACACACATGTGGGTGTACACACTACACACACAACTCATATTTTATCATTCTGTCATCAGCAAACTTCGGGACAAGTTTTGTCTGGATTCAGAAACCAGTCTAAAGGATGCAGCAGTGTTAGATTACTACGTGGGAGCCACGCACTGGGGACAGCAGCAAGGGTACAGCGTACAGCAGCTGTCTGTGCTGTTTACAATGGTTCATACTTTGTTGAACAAAATCAAAGGTAGAGATTTTTCATATCAAGTGGTGAATCTTTGATATTTTTCTTGAGGCAAAAATAATGTCAGCTAAACTGCAAATAATTCTACCTGGCACTGCCCTTGTGAGTTTGGGAGCCCTAAAATGTACCAGACTTACTGTCCCCTGATAAGCATAATGTAGCAGACCTACTGTTCCCTGATAAGCATAATGTACCAGACCTTCTGTCCCCTGATAAGCATAATGTACCAGACCTACTGTCCCCTGATAAGCATAATGTAGCAGACCTACTGTTCCCTGATAAGCATAATGTACCAGACCTACTGTCCCCTGATAAGCATAATGTAGCAGACCTACTGTCCCCTGATAAGCATAATGTACCAGACCTACTGTCCCCTGATAAGCATAATGTACCAGACCTACTGTCCCCTGATAAGCATAATGTAGCAGACGTCTAATGCCTTATAAAAGCTGACTAATCAGGAGCTTATTGAAATTTGATGTCTTTGGCTGAAAGGTGCAGATATTTCAGCCTAGCTGTAAACCACAAAACAAGATTCCAATAGTTAGAAGAATTTACCTTGTACAGGAGTTACAAATCAACACAGAATATGTTACATTTAGCAAAGTTAAACATTCATAAATCATTGATAACACCAGTGTATAGCCACAGAAAACATCCAACGAAGGGCAGTCAGAGAAGTGATGAAACAGCTGGACTAAAGTAATCATAAACTAGTCATCATCACGATCAGAGAGGTCAAACCTCCAGAAAACAGGAAGAATATAGCCAGCTGGAACTACAAGAAAGTAGACTGGGACCTCTACAAAAACTCAACTGAAAAGAAATTATCAGAACCCTTTCCCACTAATGAGGTTAGAAAAAACACAACTCTCACCAGTATCATACTCGAAGCAGCACAAAAATCAATCCCCCGAGGTCGAAGGCAAAACTTTGAACCCTTCTGGACCCAAGAACTACAACAACTGCACCAAAGAAGCACTGAAGCAAGAGAAAAAATGGAACAAGATCCCTCTGACCTCAACGTAACAGAACACAATAAACATCAGGCTATTTATAGAAGAGAAAAACTTGCATGCATCCGAACAAGATGAAAAAAAGCTATGGCGTTTAGTAAAGAGTCTAAATGAGGAGAATCATACGAGCTATGCCAGCACTGTCATTGAAGATGGTGGCAAAACTTTCTTGGTAAACAAGCAGCAAACCTGCTGGCTGATAGTTTTGCAGAGGAAAGCAAAATCTTCATGTCTAGAGCGAGAGAAGAAGAAGTGATGAGATGATTTTAAAAAGGCAACAAAATAACCAAGATGTAATGAATAAACTCTTCAGTCCCCAAGAGTTTGAATCCGCATTAAGAAATCTAATAATAATACAGAACACTGGTTTCAGAATCATCACCCGAAGTATGAGAAGCACACCAATCCATGAGCTGGAGGTAACTTCTGGCCTCCAGAGCTTGAGCCTTCGAAGGAAAGAAAAGGTGATTTCCTTAACTGAAAAATGTGAATACATAAACAACAACCCCATGCACAGAATAGCAAAAAACCACTAAAAACTGACTGAAAAGACAAAGCTTTCATCATCTATCAAAATTGTACTACAAAAAAAAACAAAAAAACAGTGACATCCTTTCTAAAGATCTTTCAACATGGGATATGATCCAGGCACACAGCATAGACCTACAGCCTAACTATACAGTCACAACAACAATTCCAGGCATCGACAGAAAGACTAAAGAATGTGACCTAGTACTGCATGCAAAGACCCTTGAACATGTCTACAACTGTTATCAAAAACCAGAATAGGCACATGTGTACACCGATGAATCATTGGAGGGAGCAAACAAAAACGGAAGAGCTGGATTGGTCATTATGCTGCAAGACAGGACCACCGTAGAAACGCCATGAATACTCTCGACAAACTTCAGAGAACATTAGCAAGCAATTATTGATTCAGCCAAAGTGCTTGAGGAAAGACAAATTTAAAACAGCAAAATTGTTTTCTTTTGTGACAACATGTCAGTCCTCTAGGCAACTCAGAGGGATCCATGAGACAACATGGAGTGAGAACTTAATCGCCCGCTAAACAGACTCGTAGAAAACAAATCATTCTCCAGTGGATCCCGGCTCACTGTAGCATACCAGGAAATGAGATAACAGATAGACTTGTAAAAATGGAACAAAGGAGAAACAACACAAATTGTGGAGAGAACAAACTGTAAATATCCACAAGAACCTATCAGCAGACTCAACAGAAATTAACATGCAACAGTTTTCAGTCTACGAAGAGGACACTACAGGCTCAACTACCACATGCATAAAATAAAGATTGTACAGTCCCCACAGTCAAACAGGACCACAAACACCTGAGCACATTCTGCAGACCTGCAGGTGAAGGTGCAGAGCAAGCTATGGGGAACCATGAAAGACCTGCTACTAACGCAAGTTTATAGAGGCACACCTGATGGTCTGATCTGAGCATACGAAACGGAACGCAAAGAAGAAGAAAAGTATGGATAATTATCTCTAAGCACAACAAACTGTGGTCATCTAGTTCACTTAACAGCTGGAGAGTAAAATACATGGAAGACTTTTAAAAAAAAATGTTTGTCTGGGATTGGACCTGAAAAACTGAGACCCGGTAAGTCAAGGAGGAGCAGCTATTTGGATTGAATCCCACCTCATGTAATCTCAGAAGCCTGGTTCAACCTTGTGATGTGGTTATGTCTGGTGAATGGAGCATCCGGTCAAATAGTTCGTTATTTGGGTTATTCTCCATGTTTGCTGGGTTATCTGTAGATGTCTTTATTTGAGTTATTGCCCCTGATTGTTGCCTAATGTGAATTGTCATTTAATTTTAATTTTGAATGGTTTTTAACCCTTCAACGCCATGAATGCTAACAAAATTGGTTCATGCACCTGTGGGAATTCCCAGAAAATATTTTTTTTTTAAAAATTTTACTATCTGCATTTTACTCTTTCATGACACCCTTCTCGCTGGTGTAGTTGGTTACCTTGACTTTGCGGTGACCGGGTGACGAACTCCTTGCGGTCCGGGTTTATGCCTGGGAGTGAGCAGAAAAGCCACATTTCTTCCAGATTTACGGTACCTGTTATGGAATCAAGACCAAAGGGTTGTGATATCCATAGTAGCGAGCCAAAGGGTTAACAACTCATGGTTTCTGGATACTTGAAAAAAAAAAAAAAACTTTTTAAGACAACATTTTGTCTGGATTTTGGACAGCATTAATTTTGACCAGAATTTTTTACTGCAACATGACCAAGCTAAAACCTTTCTGAAAAAGAAAAATGTATTGGCTGTATAGATACGTAAAACATATCAAATTAAAGAGAAATGAGTGCAGAATAAATCTAAATTATTTAAGTGTCAGTATGACAAAAAAAAATGTTATTAAAACCCACACAACATTCAACGATGTTGGAATATTATTTTTTTTTAAAGTTGTGCTTACCTTACTTTTTACTTGTTCAACAACACCGCTGTCCATTTATAAAAATGCACATGCCTTCTCTGTTCGGTTGTTGTTGCAGCGAGTTTTTATTTGAAACACTAATTTAAATACTTTGGATTTTATGACCATTTTTGTATGACATGTCAGATTTAAAAACAACTGAAATCAGGAAAACAGCTGATCGAAACAGATGATCCAATCAAAATATGTTGTTCAGTCTTCAACCTAACATAATTATAAGCAGTCGGTTTGGCACAAGCATTGTCAGTCCTAATGTGAAGAATATTGTCACTATCTAGCTGAGATTGATCAGTGACAGATTTCAACCTAACACAATTATCAGCAGTCGGTTTGGCACAAGCATTGTCAGTCCCAATGTGAAGAATATTGTCACTATCTAGCTGAGATTGATCAGTGACAGATTTCAACCTAACACAATTATCAGCAGTCGGTTTGGCACAAGCATTGTCAGTCCCAATGTGAAGAATATTGTCACTATCTAGCTGAGATTGATCAGTGACAGATTTCAACCTAACACAATTATCAGCAGTCGGTTTGGCACAAGCATTGTCAGTCCTAATGTGAAGAATATTGTCACTATCTAGCTGAGATTGATCAGTGACAGATTTCAACCTAACACAATTATCAGCAGTCGGTTTGGCACAAGCATTGTCATTCCTAATGTGAAGAATATTGTCACTATCTAGCTGAGATTGACAGATTTCAACCTAACACAATTATCAGCAGTCGGTTTGGCACAAGCATTGTCAGTCCTAATGTGAAGAATATTGTCACTATCTAGCTGAGATTGATCAGTGACAGATTTCAACCTAACACAATTATCAGCAGTCGGTTTGGCACAAGCATTGTCAGTCCTAATGTGAAGAATATTGTCACTATCTAGCTGAGATTGATCAGTGACAGATTTCAACCTAACACAATTATCAGCAGTCGGTTTGGCACAAGCATTGTCATTCCTAATGTGAAGAATATTGTCACTATCTAGCTGAGATTGATCAGTGACAGATTTCAACCTAACACAATTATCAGCAGTCGGTTTGGCACAAGCATTGTCAGTCCTAATGTGAATAATATTGTCACTATCTAGCTGAGATTGATCAGTGACAGATTTCAACCTAACACAATTATCAGCAGTCGGTTTGGCACAAGCATTGTCAGTCCTAATGTGAAGAATATTGTCACTATTTAGCTGAGATTGATCAGTGACAGAGCAGTATGAACAGTTCTAGACTTTTTCATTATCATTTGGTATTAGAAAAATCATGTAAAAATTGTGTCACATCTAAATAATTTATAGCAAATTAGAAACTACTCCAGTGACCATGCCAGACTTCGGAAATAAAAAGACTTCTTTTTGCTAATTCTAGTTTTTTTAAACATGGTCGTACAATTTAATTTTCCCAGCAAAGGAAACAATATTTGAGTGTCTATTAACAGCCACTTAAATAGCAATCCATCTAAATGTGACTGATTCAAACACCATTTAAATGGCATTTCGTCCTCAAAGAGTTCAAATTCTCTTTAAAAAAATATATAAAAATATATATATATAAATGAGGTAATCAACAGACCTGAACAGTTTGAAGCATTCAGTGTCATATATTCCTTTAAAAAAATCAGTTTTGGGTGACCCTTGCTGTGACCCCCTGACCTCTACCACTGAGGCTTATAGAAACATTTGAAACCAACATTTCTTTCAAAAGGGATGGGAGTAAAAAGAGAATCCCTGTACAGTTTTTTAATATATTCATTTCCGGGAACCACCACAGGGAAGCAGTTAGAAGCTTGCCTGTGGATCTGAAGGTCAAAGGTTCAAATTCACATGGAGATGAATTTTTTTTTTAAAACATGACCTTGGCTGCCAGGTTGACCCTGCCTGAAATAAATATTAGGTAAAGTCCTGGAAAGAAAAGGTGGTCTATAAAAATATGAGCCTAATCACACAAACTCGATGTGCCACTGGCGTGTAAAGGGACCTTTCTTCTTCTTCTTCTTCTTCAGCATTCCCAGCCCTGGAGGTTCATTGCTGCAGATATCACCCGCCTCCATTCATCTCTCTGGTTGGCCTTCTTTTTCAGTAAAGGGAACTTTAGTTTAAAAACATTTTTGTAACTTTACAGCTGTGCTGAATACATCAGTCAGCCAGTAGGAACTTCCGCTAGTAGTTTGAAAAACAGTCAGCCAGTTTGTGCTGAATACATTAGTCAGCTAACTGAATTTACAGCTGTGCTGAATACATCAGTCAGCCAGTGTTGTGCTGAATAGTTCAGCCAGTGCCATCAGAAGTACATCATGAGTCAGCCAGTAGTTGTGCTGAATACATCAGTCAGCCAGTAGTTGTGCCGAATACATCAGTCAGCCAGTAGTTGTGCTGAATACATCAGTCAGCCAGTAGTTGTGCTGAATACATCAGTCAACCAGTAGTTGTGCTGAATACATCAGTCAGCCAGTAGTTGTGCTGAATACATCAGTCAGCCAGTAGATGTGCTGAATACATGAGTCTGCTGGTAGTTGTGCTGAATACATCAGTCAGCCAGTAGTTGTGCTGAATACATCAGTCAGCCAGTGGTTGTGCTGAATACATCAGTCAGCTAGTAGTTGTGCTGAATTCATCAGTCAGCCAGTAGTTGTACTGAATTCATGAGTCAGCTATTAGTTGTTCTAATGTTTATTTGAACCCTGAAGAAAATAATGTCCTGCCCCAGAATGTGAACATGTGCAATGAACACGTCAGTCTGTGGTTGAACGTATCTAGTTGTTTATGATTGTAGAAGTCAGTTTTGTGATTGTCGACATGGCCGTCATCACCTTTTTTTTTTTTTTATTTAGAGGAACAAGTTCCCCTGGTTGATTTGATCTCAGAATTTCACAACATGATAGCTATGACCTGTAGAGATACCACAACAGAAAACATTTTCAGCATTCAGCAGTCTAAAGCAATCACAGATTTCCTTTCCTCCAGGTAAGTTACCTTTCATGAACACACACAGTCATACACACACACATACCACACACTTTGTTACACCAAAACACTTGAAATGTTTACTGTATCGTATGTCTCTGGTCAGACAAATGTTACTCAATGACCATGCTTTCAACGATCCAAATTGGCAACATTTGAGTAGAATGGGTTGATGTATCCACAAGTTTTGTATTTAGACTCCAGGAAATGTTGGCGTGAAAGGAGATGAAAGAGAAGAGCTAACAGACTAGCCGTGTCCACAGTAGTTAATGGAAGAAGCAGTATGGACAGGGCAGATGTTATTGCACTGCATTCCAGAGATATTGAGACAAATAAGTCAGTATACAATGATGAACCATCTGATGAACCATCTGTTGAAATGGGTATTAGATGACAGGCATGCAGAAAATGTACTGGGGCAAATAAAGGAGATATTTCATTGAGTTCCTGCTGGGTCTGATGAGCATGAAGCCACTGAGTTTCTGCTGGATAGGATGAGCACTAAGACACCAAGTTCCTGCTGGATAGGATGAGCACTAAGACACTTGAGTTCCTGCTGGATAGTATGAGCACTAAGACACTTGAGTTCCTGCTGGATAGTATGAGCACTAAGACACTTGAGTTCCTACTGGATAGTATGAGCACTAAGACACTTGAGTTCCTGCCGGATAGTATGAGCACTAAGACACTTGAGTTCCTGCCGGATAGTGTGAGCACTAAAACACTAAGTTCCTGCTGGATAGTATGAGCACTAAGACACTTGAGTTCCTGCCGGATAGTATGAGCACTAAGACACTGTGTTCCTGCTGGATAGGATGAGCACTAAGACACTTGAGTTCCTGCTGGATAGGATGAGCACTAAGACACTTGAGTTCCTGCTAGATAGGATAAGCACTAAGACACTTGAGTTCCTGCTGGATAGGATAAGCACTAAGACACTTGAGTTCCTGCTAGATAGGGTGAGCACTAAGACAATTGAGTTCCTGCTAGATAGGATAAGCACTAAGACACTTGAGTTCCTGCTAGATAGGATAAGCACTAAGACACTTGAGTTCCTGCTAGATAGGGTGAGCACTAAGACACTTGAGTTCCTGCTAGATAGGGTGAGCACTAAGACACTTGAGTTCCTGCTAGATAGGATGAGCACTAAGACACTTGAGTTCCTACTGGATAGGATGAGCACTAAGACACTTGAGTTCCTGCTGGATAGGATAAGCACTAAGACACTTGAGTTCCTACTGGATAGTATGAGCACTAAGACACTTGAGTTCCTGCTGGATAGTATGAGCACTAAGACACTTGAGTTCCTGCTGGATAGTATGAGCACTAAGACACTTGAGTTCCTGCTGGATAGGATGAGCACTAAGACACTTGAGTTCCTACTGGATAGGATGAGCACTAAGACACTTGAGTTCCTGTCGGATAGTATGAGCACTAAGACACTTGAGTTCCTGCTGGATAGTATGAGCACTAAGACACCAAGTTCCTGCTGGGTAGGATGAGCACTAAGACACTTGAGTTCCTGCCGGATAGTATGAGCACTAAGACACTTAGTTCCTGCTGGATAGGTATGAGCACTAAGACACTTGAGTTCCTACTGGATAGTATGAGCACTAAGACACTTGATTCCTAGGATAGTACCTAAGACACTTTGAGTTCCTGCTGGATAGTATGAGCACTAAGACACTTGAGTTCCTACTGGATAGTATGAGCACTAAGACACTTGAGTTCCTACTGGATAGGATGAGCACTAAGACACTTGAGTTCCTACTGGATAGTATGAGCACTAAGACACTTGAGTTCCTGCCGGATAGTATGAGCACTAAGACACTGTGTTCCTGCTGGATAGGATGAGCACTAAGACACTTGAGTTCCTGCTGGATCTGATAAGCACAAAGACTCTGAGTTTCCTGTTCATTGCTGCATAAGAGGACCTAGCATCACCCCGTGTGCCGAGGATGTTGATCAAAATTAGAGTAACAAGTGACAGTCTGTCCCATATGCCAGATTTCACATCCAGTGTGTGGATACTTCTTCTTCAGCGTTCCGAGCCCTTGAGGTTCATTGCTGCAGATATCACCCGCCTCCATTCATCTCTCTGGCTGGCCTACTTCAGCATTCCGAGCCCCTGAGGTTCATTGCTGCAGATATCACCCGCCTCCATTCATCTCTCTGGTTAGCCTTCTCTTTCCAGTTGGTGACACCAAGTGTTTGCAGGTCTGTCTGGATATTATCTCTCCATCATCTTCTTGGTCTGCCTCGTGGTCTACGGCCATTCATCTCTCTTGTGTATACAGTTTTTACTTCTCCGTCATCTGACATTCTCTCAATATGTCCCAACTATGTAAGTCTATTAGCTCTCATGATACCAGTATCAGTGATGATTTTAAACAGATTATGAATTTCATTGTTGCTTCTCACTCTCCATTCACCGCTGTTTACTTCTTTGATGGGTGCAAAGATTTGTCGTAATACTCTTGTTTTCAAAAACCTGTAATAAGGCTTCATCTCTTGTTGTGCCTCAAGTTTCAGAGCCATATAAAATGACTGATCTTATCAACATTTTATATATTTTGATCTTGGTGTTGCAAGATAGAAACTTTGACTTAGCAGATGTTTAATGGCATAGTATACTTGGTTTCCAGATTGTATTTTAGATTGTATTTCTTCTCTCAGCTTGTTGGAGCATTTGAAGTTTGTACCCGAGTACTTATATGTTTCCGTTCGCTTGATTTTCATATTATCGACTTGTAGGTGGCGGGAGTTTATATCCTTTCCATCCATCCTAAATCAAAGCTTAGATATCTGTTTCATTTTACGAAGCTGGGTGTGTCGGCCCCATACTTCAACCCCCAACCTAGAGGACCAATGTATGGATACTGATTTTAAAAAACATTTGGTAAAGTTAGACAGACAGACAGACAGACAGACAGACAGACAGACAGACAGACAGACAGACAGACAGACAGACAGACAGACAGACAGACAGACAGACAGACAGACAGACAGACAGACAGGCAGGCAGGCAGGCAGGCAGACACACAGACAGACAGACAAAGAGAGGGGGGGGAGAGAGAGAGTGGGGATACAGGAATAAATTTAATCACTTAGGTAATAGTTATGGCTTTGTGAAACCTAGAGGGTAACAGAAATACAGTTCACACTCTCTCATTGTATGTGTGTCGACATTTATACTTCTCACTCTCTCTCTTTCACTCTCTCTCTCTCTCTCTCTATCTCTTTCACTCTTACACACAAACTCATACACAAGTATGCACAGAAACACTGTCAGAAACTGAAGTAAACAGTATAAAATATAATTTTAGCATAGTAAAATCTAATTACAAATATTGACTCATTTGTCAGATAGAGTGGGATGATTGTTCATCATTTCCAGATTTGATGTTTCTGTTGCAGCCGTGTCCATATAGCTGAACACTGGTCTCCTGTAAGCAAAGTTCCATGATGTTGATTGGACAATAGTTGCTTTGTTTGTTTGGATTTATGATTTCTTGTTCTTGTTTCAACTCCTGTTGTCATTGGTTTTGCTGATTCGACTGTTAGACTTTAATAGTTGACATTAAACTGTTTTGTGTGGTCCTCTTTCTGTCTGTAAAATATAATTCAGTTGTATATTTTTATGCAGTAAATAGGTTTGTCTGACAATGAATTAGCTCAAATATGATGTGTGTGTGCATGCGTGTGTTCCTTTTCCGTGTGTGTGTGTGTGTGTGTGTGTGTGTGTGTGGGGAAAGGGAGATGAGGGGGGGGGGAGGAGCAGGTATTTTAGTTATTTAAGAGTTTTTGTTTTGTTGTAAATAGCAAAAACATTTATCAATGCTGGCATTGACTTGTGACCTAAATCTGTGGATAACTTGCTGCCCTGTGTTCACAGCTTGTTTCAGCACTACACGTTATATCAGTTCCTGTTTTCCACGCCTCAAGACGAGGAGATTATCACCAAAGATGTAAGTTCTGCCAGTTTTTCTCCTACAAATATCTGTATAAATATAGCATGCTTTTTTTCTGTCAACATATTCATATATTAAGTATCGAAGTAAATATTCTGTTTTGATTTTTCCTAATAACAAATATGAAGACCATGTGATTGGTTATAGATATGCTGTGCAAATTCTGTGACTTGATCTGAAAATTAGGACAGTTGATTAATATAGAAGTCACCAGACTAAATCTAAGATTTATGACAATTGTTTGATATAAAAGTGACTAGATCTGCAAATTATGACAACTGATTGATATAAAAATGACTAGATCTGAAAATTATGACATTTGATATAAAAGTCACCAGACTAAATCTAAGATTTATGACAATTGATTGATATAAAAGGGACTAGATCTGAAAATTATGACAATCGATTGATAAAAAAGTGACTAGATCTGAAAATTATGACAATTGATTGATATAAAAGTGACTAGATCTGAAAATTAGGACAATTGATTAATATAAAAGTCACCAGACTGAATCTAAGATTTATAACAATTGATAGATATAAAAGTGACTAGACTTGACAACTGTTTGATATAAAAGTCTGAACAACTCTGTAACACTGAGATCTGAGAACTGTGACAACTGTTTGATATAAAAGTCTGAACAACTCTGTAACATTGAGATCTGAGAACTGTGACAACTGTTTGAAATACAAGTCTGAACAACTCTGTAACACTGAGATCTGAGAACTGTGACAACTGTTTGATATACAAGTCTGTACAACTCTGTAACACTGAGATCTGAGAACTGTGACAACTGTTTGATATACAAGTCTGAACAACTCTGTAACACTGAGATCTGAGAACTGTGACAACTGTTTGATATACAAGTCTGAACAACTCTGTAACAATGAGATCTGAGAACTGTGACAACTGTTTGATATACAAGTCTGAACAACTCTGTAACACTGAGATCTGAGAACTGTGACAACTGTTTGATATACAAGTCTGAACAACTCTGTAACACTGAGATCTGAGAACTGTGACAACTGTTTGATATACAAGTCTGAACAACTCTGTAACACTGAGATCTGAGAACTGTGACAACTGTTTGATATACAAGTCTGAACAACTCTGTAACACTGAGATCTGAGAACTATGACAACTATTTGATATACAAGTCTGTACAACTCTGTAACACTGAGATCTGAGAACTATGACAACTGTTTGATATACAAGTCTGTACAACTCTGTAACACTGAGATCTGAGAACTATGACAACTATTTGATATACAAGTCTGAACAACTCTATAACACTGAGATCTGAGAACTATAACAACTGTTTGATATACAAGTCTGTACAACTCTGTAACACTGAGATCTGAGAACTGTGACAACTGTTTGATATACAAGTCTGAACAACTCTGTAACACTGAAATCGACTACAAAAAGAAGTCTCAATTCATATTTTTCCCTGTCAGAAAATAATCCTGCACTTACTGGGTATTGAACCTGGACAAGAGTATGGGTAAGAAATGGCACTAACAAGGCATCCCTAGAGCACCAGCAACATCTCCCTAGAGCACCAGCAACAGCTCCCTAGAGCACCAGCAACAGCTCCCTAGAGCACCAACAACAGCTCCCTAGAGCACCAGCAACAGCTCCCTAGAGCACCAGCAACAGCTCCCTAGAGCACCAACAACAGCTCCCTTGAGCATTAACAACAGCTCCCTAGAGCACCAGCAACAGCTCCCTTGAGCATTAACAACAGCTCCCTAGAGCACCAGCAACAGCTCCCTAGAGCACCAGCAACAGCTCCCTTGAGCATTAACAACAGCTCCCTAGAGCACCAGCAACAGCTCCCTAAAGCACCAGCAACACCTCCCTTGAGCATTAACAACAGCTCCCTTGAGCATTAACAACAGCTCCCTTGAGCATTAACAACAGCTCCCTTGAGCATTAACAACAGCTCCCTTGAGCATTAACAACAGCTCCCTTGAGCATTAACAACAGCTCCCTTGAGCATTAACAACAGCTCCCTAGAGCACCAGCAACAGCTCCCTAGAGCACCAGCAACAGCTCCCTTGAGCATTAACAACAGCTCTCTTGAGCATTAACAACAGCTCCCTAGAGCACCAGCAACAGCTCCCTTGAGCATTAACAACACCTCCCTTGAGCATTAACAACAGCTCCCTTGAGCATTAACAACAGCTCCCTTGAGCATTAACAACAGCTCCCTAGAGCACCAGCAACACCTCCCTAGAGCACCAGCAACACCTCCCTTGAGCATTAACAACAGCTCCCTAGAGCACCAGCAACAGCTCCCTAGAGCACCAGCAACACCTCCCTAGAGCACCAGCAACACCTCCCTTGAGCATTAACAACAGCTCCCTAGAGCACCAGCAACACCTCCCTTGAGCATTAACAACAGCTCCCTAGAGCACCAGCAACAGCTCCCTATAGCACCAACAACATCCCCCAGTGTACCAGCAACATCTCCATAGAGCACCAACAACATCTCCCAAGACAACAAGCAGCACCTCCCAAGAGCATTAACAACAGCTTCCAAGAGCACTAACAGCACCACGCAAGAGCACTAACAACACATCCCAAGGTTCCAGCGACATATCCTAAAGACATTGTAAGCAATAAATATCTCTGTTGAAGCTCTGAGTACTTGGGCACCTGCTACACACATACATTCAGTGTGTAGGCACTGTCACTGGTTTATTTCTTGTTCATTCACATCTGACACATAAAATATAGATCATGAATAGACTGTACCAGAGCCTGCAGCAGTTGACTCATATGCCTGTGTGTTCCAGTTTTTTGTGGAAGTTCCTGTCCCTTACGGTGTACCCTTCCCAAAGTCTCTGGATGAGGGATTGCCAGAGGAAATATTTACAACCATCTCTGCACTTGAGTCCCTCCAACTGGAAACTGCAACAGTAAGTGGGTCATCCCTGTCAGTAAAACAATTGTAAGTAGGTCATGGCATTGACTAATTCTACAATCAGTGGGTCATCCCTGTCAGTAGTGACAATAGTAAGTAGGTCATGGCATTAACTAATTCTACAATCAGTGGGTCATCCCTGTCAGCAGTGACAATAGTAAGTAGGTCATGGCATTAACTAATTCTACAATCAGTGGGTCATCCCTGTCAGTAGTGACAACTGTAAGTAGGTCATAGCATTGACTAATTCTACAATCAGTGGGTCATCCCTGTCAGTAGTGACAACTGTAAGTAGGTCATGGCATTAACTAATTCTACAATCAGTGGGTCATCCCTGTCAGTAGTGACAACTGTAAGTAGGTCATGGCATTAACTAATTCTACAATCAGTGGGTCATCCCTGTCAGCAGTGACAACTGTAAGTAGGTCATGGCATTGACTAATTCTACAATCAGTGGGTCATCCCTGTCAGCAGTGACAATTGTAAGTGGGTCATGACATTAACTAATTCTACAATCAGTGGGTCATCCCTGTCAGTAGTGACAATTGTAAGTAGGTCATGGCATTAACTCAGGTCGACCCAGCCTAAAATGGGTACCAGGATGGGCTGTCCTGGGAAAGTAAAGACAGCCGGCGTAATGCTGACCACATTACCCACAGTGCTGATGGTCTGTAAAAATATGGGACGCTCTGCCCATATGCCCGATGCGCCGAAAGGCATGAAAAGGGACCTTTACTTTTTTTTTTTTTACATGGCATTAACTAATTCTACAATCAGTGGGTCATCCCTGTCAGCAGTGACAATTGTAAGTGGGTCTTGACATTAACTAATTCTACAATCAGTGGGTCATCCCTGTCAGCAGTGACAATTGTAAGTAGGTCATGGTCATGACATTGATCAAGTTCTCTAATCATCAGGTCATCCTGTCAGCATTGACAGTGGTAAGTAGGTCATGACATTGATCTAGATCTTAATCAGCGAGTAATCCCTGTCAGCAGTGACAGTAGTAAGTAGGTTAAGACATTGGCCTACTTCTGTAATCACTGGGTTATCCCAGTAACCTGGTGTAGTAGTAGCTAGATCATCCTGGCTACTAGTACAAGGGTTATTGCAGTCAAAAGTTGGGGTTTTCTTGGTTGCTGCAGTCAACATTTGGGGTTTTCTTGGTTGCTGCAGTCAACAGTTGGAGTTTTCTTGGTTGCTGCAGTCAACATTTGGAGTTTTCTTGGTTGCTGCATTCAACAGTTGGAGTTTTCTTGGTTGCTGCAGTCAACAGTTGGGGTTTTCTTGGTTGCTGCAGTCAACAGTTGGGGTTTTCTTGGTTGCTGCAGTCAACAGTTGGGGTTTTCTTGGTTGCTGCAGTCAACAGTTGGGGTTTTCTTGGTTGCTGCAGTCAACAGTTGGGGTTTTCTTGGTTGCTGCAGTCAACATTTGGAGTTTTCTTGGTTGCTGCAGTCAACAGTTGGAGTTTTCTTTGTTGCTGCAGTCAACAGTTGGGGTTTTCTTGGTTGCTGCAGTCAACATTTGGAGTTTTCTTGGTTGCTGCAGTCAACAGTTGGAGTTTTCTTGGTTGCTGCAGTCAACAGTTGGAGTTTTCTTGGTTGCTGCAGTCAACAGTTGGAGTTTTCTTGGTTGCTGCAGTTGGAGTTTTCTTGGTTGCTGCAGTCAACAGTTAGAGTTTTCTTGGTTGCTGTTGGTTAGGGATAATTTTCCCCTGACCATAGATATCCCCAGATTTGCTGCAGCCTTCTCCCATAGACCACATCCGGAGGTTCTCAGCACACTGCACTAACTCTGCAGCACCATTCAGGAGCCCACATGTTTGTACACCACAGCCCACATGTTTGTACACCACAGCCCACATGTTTGTACACCACAGCCCACATGTTTGTACATCACAGCCCACATGTTTGTACACCACAGCCCACATGTTTGTACACCACAGCCCACATGTTTGTACACCACAGCCCACATGTTATACAGCACAGCCCACATGTTTGTACACCACAGCCAACATGTTTGTACATCACAGCCCACATGTTTGTACACCACAGCCCACATGTTTGTACACCACAGCCCACATGTTTGTACAGCACAGCCCACATGTTTGTACACCACAGCCCACATGTTTGTACACCACAGCCCACATGTTATACAGCACAGCCCACATGTTATACAGCACAGCCCACATGTTTGTACACCACAGCCCACATGTTTGTACACCACAGCCCACATGTTTGTACACCACAGCCCACATGGCTCAGAGATTCTTATCCTTGATTTGTTTTCAGATTGTGAACTTTAACCTTGCTATTGGCCTGTTGGGTCTATTTAATTTTCAACATTGACTGTGTGCTCACTGGTCCTCAGAGTTGTTGCCCTTGTCTGAAAAGGTTATGCATTCGATCCACTCCCCCATGATCAGTGGATGTTTGTGTGGGCTGCGGTGTAGAAAAATAATAATAATGAGAGTACTCTCATTATTATTCTTTTTCTTCTTATTATTATTATCATTACTATGCCAAATATTTTCTTTGTGTCGGCTCCAAACTCAGATAATAAAAGGTTATTCAGCATACAGCTGTTGACAGATGGAGGAGTGGCTGATAGATTCTGATATCCACCTCTAGTACATACTTACCTGACTCATGACACAGTCTCCAGTGTGTGAATTGTTTCATAATTAAAAACAAAAACGGGAGGATCACATACATCCACTGATCATGCGGGAGTGGATCGAATAATAATTGTGTACTTATTGCAGATAAATATAATATTTCAGTGGTACCTGGGTATGCATCCTTAATCCATTCCAAATCCTTGGACCAGCTAGGACATACACCAGCTAGGACATAAACCAGCTAGGACATACACCAGCTAGGACATACACCAGCTAGGACATACACCAGCTAGGACATACACCAGCTAGGACATAAACCAGCTAGGACATACACCAGCTAGGACATACACCAGCTAGGACATACACCAGCTAGGACATACACCAGCTAGGACATACACCAGCTAGGACATACACCAGCTAGGACATACACCAGCTAGGACATACACCAAATGAATATTCCCATAACAAATTCACATGAAACAATCCTATTGTTACTGGCATGTTAGAAATTGAAGGGGTTGTATAAAATAGTTTTAAACACTGCTTAACTGCGTCAGTCCCAGAAAGTTAAGCATCAGAGGCCCGAAGGGTGGTCATGTGGGACATAAAATCGGCACATCCTGCATTCACGGGGCCTCTGGATAGGAACCTATAAATGCAAGATGCGTTCCTTAGGACCAAAGGAGTTAATACTAGAATACATAAATATAAAATCAGATGAAATAAAGGAGAATGTAACCTCACTTTAACCTGCTGAGGACCGATGAGGGCCTTGAAGGATGGTGCTGAGAACAGATGAGGGCCTTGAAGGATGGTGCTGAGGACCGACGAGGGCCTTGAAGGATGGTGCTGAGGACCGACGAGGGCCTTGAAGGATGGTGCTGAGGACCGACGAGGGCCTTGAAGGATGGTGCTGAGGGCCGACGAGGGCCTTGAAGGATGGTGCTGAGGACTGACAAGGGCCTTGAAGGATGGTGCTGAGGACCGACAAGGGCCTTGAAGGATGGTGCTGAGAACAGATGAGGGCCTTGAAGGATGGTGCTGAGAACAGACCAGGGCCTTGAAGGATGGTGCTGAGAACAGACCAGGGCCTTGAAGGATGGTGCTGAGAACAGACCAGGGCCTTGAAGGATGGTGCTGAGAACAGACCAGGGCCTTGAAGAATGGTGCTGAGGACCGACGAGGGCCTTGAAGGATGGTGCTGAGGACCGACAAGGGCCTTGAAGGATGGTGCTGAGAACAGACCAGTGCCTTGAAGGATGGTGCTGAGGACCGACAAGGGCCTTGAAGGATGGTGCTGAGAACAGACCAGGGCCTTGAAGGATGGTGCTGAGAACAGACCAGGGCCTTGAAGGATGGTGCTGAGAACAGACCAGGGCCTTGAAGGATAGTGCTGAGAACAGACCAGGGCCTTGAAGGATGGTGCTGAGAACAGACCAGTGCCTTGAAGGATGGTGATGAGAACAGACCAGTGCCTTGAAGGATGGTGCTGAGAACAGACCAGGGCCTTGAAGGATGGTGCTGAGAACAGATGAGGGCGTTGAAGGATGGTGCTGAGAACAGACCAGGGCGTTGAAGGATGGTGCTGAGAACAGATGAGGGCATTGAAGGATGGTGCTGAGAACAGACCAGGGCGTTGAAGGATGGTGCTGAGAACAGACCAGGGCCTTGAAGGATGGTGCTTAGAACAGACCAGTGCCTTGAAGGATGGTGATGAGAACAGACCAGTGCCTTGAAGGATGGTGCTGAGAACAGACCAGGGCCTTGAAGGATGGTGCTGAGAACAGATGAGGGCGTTGAAGGATGGTGCTGAGAACAGACCAGGGCCTTGAAGGATGGTGCTGAGAACAGATGAGGGCATTGAAGGATGGTGCTGAGAACAGACCAGGGCGTTGAAGGATGGTGCTGAGAACAGACACACACCTCCCTTCTCACATTTTGTAAAAAAGAAGGGGTAGAGCATGGTGGGGGGGGAGGGGGGGGGGGAGAAGTTCCCTGAGTACCAGGTAAAAACACCCTTTCTGAGTTAAAATCAGGTTCTGTGGGAAACTGAAATATTTAGCAAAAAGAATGGAACATTTACTTGTGGTAACCTCCACCGAGTTGCTTGGATATGTTGAGATTATTGTTTCAGATAAAAATTGAACTTTTTAGCTTCATTTTTCCTGGGCAAAGTCAATAAAACCTCCAAACAAACAAACAAACAAACAAACAAACAAAAGTAATGACAGACCTAGCTTCTGGTATCAGTTGTTGGGTAATTTGTACACAACAGTACTCTGTGTCGGCAGAGCTATCTACCCTTGTAGATTGTTTCATGGGTAAGTGAGTGAAGTTGAACCCCGCTAGGACCACACACTGGGCAGTTAACACCTGGTGATACAAAGTGCAAAGTGTCACTATCTGGATAATAATCCCCCAGGTCGAAATCCCAGAAACCCTGTTAAAATCCCAGAAACCCTGTTGAAATCCTGTAAACCCTGTTGAAATCCCAGAAACCCTGTTGAAATTCTGAAAACCCTGTTGAAATCCTGTAAACCCTGTTGAAATCCTATAAACCCTGTTGAAATCCTGTAAACCCTGTTGAAATCCCAGAAACCCTGTTGAAATCCTGTGAACCCTGTTGAAATCCTGTAAACCCTGTTGAAATCTCAAAAACCCTGTTGAAATCCTGTAAACCCTGTTGAAATCCTGTAAACCCTGTTGAAATCCCAGAAACCCTGTTGAAATCCTGTAAACCCTGTTGAAATCCTGTAAGCCCTGTTGAAATCCCAGAAACCCTGTTGAATTCCCAGAAACCCTGTTGAAATCCCAGAAACCCTGTTGAAATCCTGTAAACCCTGTTGAAATCCCAGAAACCCTGTTAAAATCATGTAAACCCTGTTAAAATCCCAGAAACCCTGTTGAAATTCCAGAAACCCTGTTGAAATTCCAGAAACCCTGTTGAAATCCCAGAAACCCTGTTGAAATCCTGTAAACCCTGTTGAAATCCTGTAAACCCTGTTGAAAACCCAGAAAACCTGTTGAAATCCCAGAAAACCTGTTGATATTCTGTAAACCCTGTTGAAATCCTGTAAACCCTGTTGAAATCACAGAAACCCTGTTGCAATCCCAGAAACCCTGTTGAAATGCCATAAACCCTGTTGAAATCCCAGAAACCCTGTTGAAAACCCAGAAACCTGTTGAAATCCCAGGAACCCTGTTGAAATCCCAGAAACCCTGTTGAAATCCTGTAAAACCTGTTGAAATCCTGTAAACCTTGTTGAAATCCCAGAAACCCTGTTGAAATCCCAGAAACCCTATTGAAATCCCATAAACCCTGTTGAAATCCTGTAAAATCTGTTGAAATCCCATAAACCCTGTTTAAATCCCAGAAACCCTGTTTAAATCCCAGAAACCCTGTTTAAATCCCAGAAACCCTGTTGAAATCCCAGAAACCCTGTTGAAATCCTAGAAACCCTGTTGAAATCCTGTAAACCCTGTTGAAATCCCAGAAACCCTGTTGAAATCCTGTAAACCCTGTTGAAATCCCAGAAACCCTGTTGAAATTCTGTAAACCCTGTTGAAATCCTATAAACCCTGTTGAAATCCTGTAAACCCTGTTGAAATCCCAGAAACCCTGTTGAAATTCTGTGAACCCTGTTGAAATCCTGTAAACCCTGTTGAAATCTCAGAAACCCTGTTGAAATCCTGTAAACCCTGTTGAAATCCTGTAAACCCTGTTGAAATCCCAGAAACCCTGTTGAAATCCTGTAAACCCTGTTGAAATCCCAGAAACCCTGTTGAAATCATGTAAACCCTGTTGAAATCCCAGAAACCCTGTTAAAATTCCAGAAACTCTGTTGAAATCCCAGAAACCCTGTTGAAGTCCTGTAAACCCTGTTGAAATCCCAGAAACCCTGTTGAAATCCTGTACTGTTGAAATCCCAGAAAACCTGTTGAAATCCCAGAAAACCTGTTGATATTCTGTAAACCCTGTTGAAATCCTGTAAACCCTGTTGAAATCCCAGAAACCCTGTTGAAATCCTGTAAAATCTGCTGAAATCCCATAAACCCTGTTTAAATCCCAGAAACCCTGTTTAAATCCCAGAAACCCTGTTTAAATCCCAGAAACCCTGTTGAAATTCCAGAAACCCTGTTGAAATCCTGTAAACCCTGTTGAAATCCCAGAAACCCTGTTGAAATCCCAGAAACCCTGTTGAAATCCTGTAAACCCTGTTGAAATCCTGTAAAACCTGTTGAAATCCTAGAAACCCTGTTGAAATCCCAGAAACCCTGTTGAAATCCCAAAAACCCTGTTGAAATCCCAGAAACCCTGTTGAAATCCTGTAAACCCTGTTGAAATCCTGTAAACCCTGTTGAAATCGCAGAAACCCTGTTGAAATCCTGTAAAACCTGTTGAAATCGTAGAAACGTTGTTCAGCCACAAAATGATCCTGGGTTCTCCGATGACCACCTGACGTCCAGACAGGGTAGGGCAGTTTTAATGTAAGTGTTTTACATTATCAACATTTTAACTCAAGCTAAAACTGACTTTGTATTGTAATTATGGTCATATGCTAAGTATGATATACTAAATATAAATAAAATTCCTGAACAAATGAAATAAATTTGAATCAAACAGGAGAGCCAGGAGGACACAGATACGAGTGAGACTAAATGCGAGACACCCATCGAGGTTGAGCTGCCACCAGATGCAAACAATATTTTTGAAAAACTGACTCCTGAAGATGTCAAGGCTGTTATCACTGAAACTTGTGCTGTTATTTTAAACAACTTGGAGGTAGTGCTCCATTTTTTGTTTTCTAAATACAGTCTGGCATCTGAAGGGACCTCTTCCCAGGCTACAATAACAGTTAAACTACTGATTCTCTCTCCCTTTCTCTCTCTCTTTCCCCAGCTGATTGACGTCTCTCAGCCTTCTGGTCTGGTCCTTGCAATAATCTCTGATTTAATATTGTCCTGATATCTAGTCTGCCACTCCACTGTTTCTCTGTTTGCTGTTTCTGATCTCACAGTTTGCCACTCCACTGTTTCTCTGTTTGCTGTTTCTTATCTCACAGTCTGCCACTCCACTGTTTCTCTGTTTGCTGTTTCTGATCTCACAGTCTGCCACTCCACTGTTTCTCTGTTTGCTGTTTCTGATCTTAGTCTGCCACTCCACTGTTTCTCTGTTTGCTGTTTCTGATCTCACAGTCTGCCACTCCACTGTTTCTCTGTTTGCTGTTTCTGATCTCACAGTCTGCCACTCCACTGTTTCTCTGTTTGCTGTTTCTTATCTCTCAGTCTGCCACTCCACTGTTTCTCTGTTTGCTGTTTCTGATCTCACAGTCTGCCACTCCACTGTTTCTCTGTTTACTGTTTCTTATCTCTCAGTCTGCCACTCCACTGTTTCTCTGTTTGCTGTTTCTTATCTCTCAGTCTGCCACTCCACTGTTTCTCTGTTTGCTGTTTCTGATCTCACAGTCTGCCACTCCACTGTTTCTCTGTTTGCTGTTTCTGATCTCAGTCTGCCACTCCACTGTTTCTCTGTTTGCTGTTTCTGATCTCAGTCTGCCACTCCACTGTTTCTCTGTTTGCTGTTTCTGATCTCACAGTCTGCCACTCCACTGTTTCTCTGTTTGCTGTTTCTTATCTATCAGTCTGCCACTCCACTGTTTCTCTGTTTGCTGTTTCTGATCTCACAGTCTGCCACTCCACTGTTTCTCTGTTTGCTGTTTCTGATCTCACAGTCTGCCACTCCACTGTTTCTCTGTTTGCTGTTTCTGATCTCACAGTCTGCCACTCCACTGTTTCTCTGTTTGCTGTTTCTTATCTCACAGTTTGCCACCATTGTAATCTTTCAGCAGATGGACTGAGTGGATTAGTCCCAGCATTGCTGCTTGCTCTCAGAATCAAATATGTTAGCACACACATGATTATCAGTTCATGGTTGGTCATTATCAGAGACCCCCCCCCCCTCCCCCCACTTTATTCTATTTCTTGAATATTCAGGCACAAGTTTATCCTGTCCTGGCGTTGACCTTTGATAAGGGCCACTCGTTAGATCTGAAGCACATAACTGAATCATGAACACCTATAATAAATGTGTAACTTCTATCAGTTCACATCCATTGTTGTGTGCATCTTTCCCATAAACCCCTTTCACTTACTGAAACCTGCAAAATTTGCATATTTGTACATCTGTCCCAGAAATCTGAGGTCAAGGTCTTGTATTTTCTTCTAAAGAGAGACCAGGGTTTGTGCATCTGTCCCAGAAATCTGAGGTCAAGGTCTTGTATTTTCTTCTAAAGAGAGACCAGGGTTTGTGCATCTGTCCCAGAAATCTGAGGTCAAGGTCTTGTATTTTCTTCTAAAAAGAGACCAGGGTTTGTGCATCAAAAGATTAACTCATAACTGACAACTCATCTCTACTGTTTTCAGTATACTTTGATTATCATCTTTGATTATCAACTTTGATTATTATCTTTGATTATCAACTTTGATTATTATCTTTGATTATCATCTTTGATTATTATCTTTGATTATCATCTTTGATTATCATCTTTGATTATTATCTTTGATTATCATCTTTGATTATCAACTTTGATTATTATCTTTGATTATCAACTTTGATTATTATCTTTGATTATCATCTTTGATTATTATCTTTGATTATCATCTTTGATTATCATCTTTGATTATCATCTTTGATTATTATCTTTGATTTTCATCTTTGATTATTATCTTTGATTATCATCTTTGATTATAATATTTGATTATCATTTTTCTGTTGTTGAATAGAATATTTAATACACCATCTCTGTTGCTAAATACAACATTTATTACATCACTTCTCTCTTGCTAAATACAGCATTTATTACATCACTTCTCTGTTGCTAAATACAACATTTATTACATCACTTCTCTCTTGCTAAATACAGCATTTATTACATCACTTCTCTGCTGCTGAAAACAACATTTATTACATCACTTCTCTGTTGCTAAATACAAAATTTGTTACATCACTTCTCTGATGCTGAATACAACTTTTATTACATTACTTTACTGTTGCTGAATACAACATTTATTACATCACTTCTCTGCTGCTGAATACAACATTTATTACATCACTTCTCTGTTGCTGAATACAACATTTATTACATCACTTCTCTGTTGCTGAATACAACATTTATTACATCACTTCTCTGTTGTTGAATACAACATTTATACATCACTTCTCTGTTGCTGAATACAACATTTATTACATTACTTCTCTGTCGCTGAATACAACATTTATTACATTACTTCTCTGTTGCTGAATACAATATTTATTACACTACTTTCTCTGTTGCTGAATACAACATTTATTACATCACTTCTCTGTTGCTGAATACAACATTTATACATCACTTCTCTGTTGCTGAATACAACATTTATTACATTACTTCTCTGTCGCTGAATACAACATTTATTACATTACTTCTCTGTTGCTGAATACAATATTTATTACACTACTTTCTCTGTTGCTGAATACAACATTTATTACATCACTTCTCTGTTGCTGAATACAACATTGATTACATCTATGTTGCTGAATACAACATTTATTACATCACTTCTCTGTTGCTAAATACAGCATTTATTACATCACTTCTCTGTTGCTGAACACATTTATTACATCACTTCTCTGTTGCTGAATACAACATTTATTACACCACTTCTCTGTTGCTGAATACAATATTTATTACACTACTTTCTCTGTTGCTGAATACAGCATTTATTACATCACTTCTCTGTTGCTGAATACAACATTTATTACATTACTTCTCTGCTGCTGAATGCAACATTTATTACATCACTTCTCTGTTGCTGAATACAACATTTATTACATCACTTCTCTGCTGCTGAATACAACATTTATTACATCACTTCTCTGTTGCTGAATACAACATTTATTACATCACTTCTCTGTTGCTAAATGCAACATTTATTACAACACTTCTCTGTTGCTGAATACAGCATTTATTACATCACGTCTCTGTTGCTTAATACAACATTTATTACATCACTTCTCTGCTGCTGAATACAACATTTATTACATCACTTCTCTGTTGCTGAATACAACATTTATTACATCACTTCTCTGCTGCTGAATACAACATTTATTACATCACTTCTCTGTTGCTGAATACAAAATTTTTACATCACTTCTATGTTGCTGAATACAACATTTATTACATCACTTCTCTGTTGCTAAATACAACATTTATTACATCACTTCTCTGTTGCTAAGTACAGCATTTATTACATCACTTCTCTGTTGCTGAATACAACATTTATTACATCACTTCTCTCTTGCTAAATACAGCATTTATTACATCACTTCTCTGCTGCTGAAAACAACATTTATTACATCACTTCTCTGTTGCTAAATACAACATTTGTTACATCACTTCTCTGATGCTGAATACAACATTTATTACATTACTTCTCTGTTGCTGAATACAACATTTATTACATCACTTCTCTGCTGCTGAATACAACATTTATTACATCACTTCTCTGTTGCTGAATACAACATTTTTTACATCACTTCTCTGTTGCTGAATACAACATTGATTACATCTCTGTTGCTGAATACAACATTTATTACATCACTTATCTGTTGTTGAATACAACATTTATACATCACTTCTCTGCTGCTGAACACAACATTTATTACATCACTTCTCTGTTGCTGAATACAACATTTATTACACTACTTTCTCTGTTGCTGAATACAACATTTATTACATCACTTCTCTGTTGCTGAATACAACATTGATTACATCTATGTTGCTGAATACAACATTTATTACATCACTTCTCTGTTGCTAAATACAGCATTTATTACATCACTTCTCTGTTGCTGAATACATTTATTACATCACTTCTCTGTTGCTGAATACAACATTTATTACACCACTTCTCTGTTGCTGAATACAATATTTATTACACTACTTTCTCTGTTGCTGAATACAGCATTTATTACATCACTTCTCTTTTGCTGAATACAACGTTTGTTACATCATTTCTCTGTTGCTAAATACAACATTTATTACATCACTTCTCTGCTGCTGAATACAACATTTATTACATCACTTCTCTGCTGCTGAATACAACATTTATTACATCACTTCTCTGTTGCTGAATACAACATTTATTACATCACTTCTCTGTTGCTAAATACAACATTTATTACATCACTTCTCTGTTGCTGAATACAACATTTATTACATCACTTCTCTGCTGCTGAATACAACATTTATTACATCATTTCTCTGTTGCTGAATACAACATATATTATATATTATCTCTCATTTGCTGATACAGAATTCATCATTTTGTCTCCAGAAAGATGTAGAGAAGAAAATCACACAACAGAAAGCAACAGCTCTGACAAAACTAAACATGATCCAGAATATTCCGCCTTTATCTGGAAAGTCTTCGGACAGCAAGTAGGGACACACTCGGCCACAGGCTGTTGTTTGAGTGCAGTCTGTGTGTTTCCATGAAGAGTGTATGGTACATATGTTTGTAGAGGATCTTGCAAGAGTATATATTACATATGTTTGTAGAGGATCTTGCAAGAGTATATATTACAGATGTTTGTAGAGGATCTTGCAAGAGTATATAGTACAGATGTTTGTAGAGGATCTTGCAAGAGTATATATTACAGATGTTTGTAGAGGATCTTGCAAGAGTATATATTACAGATGTTTGTAGAGGATCTTGCAAGAGTATATATTACAGATGTTTGTAGAGGATCTTGCAAGAGTATATATTACAGATGTTTGTAGAGGATCTTGCAAGAGTATATAGTACATATGTTTGTAGAGGATCTTGCAAGAGTATATATTACAAATGTTTGTCGAGGATCTTGCAAGAGTATATAGTACATATGCTTGTAAAGGATCTTGCAAGAGTATATATTACAAATGTTTGTAGAGGATTTTGCAAGAGTATTTATTACATATGTTTGTAGAGGATCTGGCAAGAAAACTTTTTACACATGTTTGTGGAGAAACTTGCAAGAGTATATAGTACATATGTTTGTAGAGGGTCTTGCAAGATTATATATTACAAATGTTTGTAGAGGATTTTGCAAGAGTTAAATGTTGAATTAAGAATCGACATCACAGCACTCGGGACACTCCCATTAGTGCTCCGTCCCCATTTCAGCAGCAAGCCAAAAGTTTCAATTCGGATGGCACCAGTAGCTATCTGATTGTATACCCGTCTCATCCTTTCCCCGAGTTTTGAGCTTCGGCCAGATCTTCTTGTAACTTCTTGCAACACCATTCTCCTCAGATCGATCTATCTACGCCTCCACATCTTTCACTCATTCCCAAAAAGCCTTCACAATATTTAGCTTGTTATACATCAATTCACCACCATGTGGTGCAGAGCCAGCCAGTCTGTCTGTCTGCTCATTTCCCAACACACCGGCATAACCAGGAGAAAATATCCAAAGGGTGCTAACTACCTGGGACCTCTGAAGTGATGCTTGCTACTCTGCACAAAGCATGCCTGTCTTTACCTTTCTTAACATGCTTTGTGAGTCAGTGATAATCACGGCATGTGTGTACAGCTGTTTCTAAAGCTAGCGGAAGGCAGCAGAGACTGCCTCCACCTCCATTCTCAAACTAGATATTGGGATATCATATAGTCTGTGTTTGAGGTTTCCAAACTTCTAATAAATTCTTAATGTTTCACTTTATCAAATGCTTTAAAGCACCAATACAGATATCTATTCATGTCATTCATTCATTCAAAAATTGTTCTCAAGATAAATATGGCTTTGTTTGTGCCTTTACCGTCAACAAACCCACTCCACTCTTCTCAAGATAAATATGGCGTTGTTTGTGCCTTTACTGTCAACAAACCCACTCCGCTCTTCCCAAGATAAATATGGCGTTGTTTGTGCCTTTACTGTCAACAAACCCACTCCGCTCTTTCCAAGATAAATATGGCGTTGTTTGTGCCTTTACCGTCAACAAACCCACTCCACTCTTCTCAAGATAAATATGGCGTTGTTTGTGCCTTTACCGTCAACAAACCCACTCTGCTATTCTCCAGTTTCTGGTTTAATTTTACACCCTGTTCTTCTCATGATAATTCTCATTAACATTTTGGTTGCATGACTCATTAAACTGTTTGATGTTCTCCGCCCTCCACTGCACCCGATGTTTTTAATAAAGGTATGAAAAGAGATTTCAAAAGGTCATGAGGTATGTGTCCACGGTTATAAATATCACTGAACAATTTTGTCCAAACTTCTAAACCCAGTTTACCAGCAGCTGTTATCTGGCCCTGGAGATTGACATTTCTTCGTGTGGTTTATAGCATCTTCTAGTCGTGATGTTATCTGGCCCTGGAGATGGACATTTCTTCGTGTGGTTTATAGCATCTTCTAGTCGTGATGTTATCTGGCCCTGGAGATGGACATTTCTTCGTGTGGTTTATAGCATCTTCTAGTCGTGATGTTATCTGGCCCTGGAGATTGACATTTCTTCGTGTGGTTTATAGCATCTTCTAGTCGTGATGTTATCTGGCCCTGGAGATTGACATTTCTTCGTGTGGTTTATAGCATCTTCTACTTCTGCTTTCAGTATTGAAGATCTTCCTAATACTCGTAATTCTTTAAGTCTGGTCTACTGTTTCTCTATGTCTGGTCTGCTGTTATCATCGTATAGCTCTTTTATATACTTAGTTCATCTTTCACATTCCTTCTCTTTGTACATTAATAATTCACCTTCTTTCATTTTCAAGCAATTACTTGCTGAATATTTTCTGAAACCTGATAGTTCTTGCATTCTTTTATACATGCTTGTGTGTTCTCTCTTTGTTCTTCAATTTCTTTGCACTCATTGTTAAGCCAAACTTCTTTCCCTGCATTACATTTACGTATAATCTCACTATGGATTCTCTTGTAACTATCTTGGTTGTTTTCGTTTGTTCTTCTAATTTCCATCAGTGGTCAAATGTCCTCTTTCATCCATTTTTTTTCTTTGCTTTCTTCTTTACTTCTGCTAATTTTTCTGATAGTGTCTGTTGTAGTGACTATTTTAACATTTGCCAGTGTGCATCTGCACTGTTTATTGGCACTTCAGCATAACTGGTGTTAAAATAGAAAAATAGCTTAGATGGCACAGTATTCAAACATAAACATAGCTTAGATGGCACAGTATACAAACATAAACATAGCTTATATGGCACAGTATACAAACATAAACATAGCTTACATGGCACGGTATACAAACATAAACATAGCTTAGATTCCACAGTATACAAACATAAACATAGCTTACATGGCACAGTATACAAACATAAACATAGCTTAGAAGGCACAGTTTACAAACATAAACATAGTTTAGATGGCACAGTATACAAACATAAACATAGTTTAGATGGCACAGTATACAAACATAAACATAGCTTAGATGGCACAGTATACAAATACTACTAACTTCTCATTATAAAAAGAATTTCCCCCCCCCCCCCCCCCCCACCCCCCCCCCCCCACAAAATTGCTTTATTAATGGCTTGAAGTCGTTGGTCTTTAGGATGCCATTTTCGGTGCACATAAGTGAAAGCTGGTTCAAGAGATGCTCGCCCATTGTGGATCAAAGAGCATTTTTTAAAAATAATTTCAGTCTTGAAAAATAAAGTTCTCCTGTACAGTAGGCTACCATCATTCACAAGAACATGCTGATTGCAATTTCAACGTACAAGATAACAAATTGCAGATTGTCAAATATACTTTTTGTGTGTGTGTACAGCGAAGAGTTTGGAAAGATTTATATGACATTGTATTAATTAAAATGTCATATATATATATATTATTTAAGTCCTTAAGAAATAGAGTAGGGGCTTTTGAGCTGAAATGCTATAGAGAGATTCTCAGAATATCTTGGACAAAGAAGATGAGAAATATTGACTTCTTAAAAGATCTGAACATCACGGAAGATTGGCTAATAAACAGCATCCTTTCTCGAAAGCTGAAATATTTTGGTCATATCAAGCGCCACGACGGATTGGAAAAAATTATAGCAGAAGGCATGGTACCAGGAAGGAGGGGCAGAGGCCGACCGACAGGAAGATGGGTGCAGGATATAAGTGACTCCTTGAGTGTGAAAGTTCATGAGGCGGGAGAACTGGCAAGAGACGGAGTTTCTCACAGGCAGACTGTGATGAGAGCGACGTTCTGCAAAGGACCTGCTACATAATGATGATATATTTTTATTGATAGCAAATATCTGACATACACAGGTAAGCATGGAACCCCAGTGCTTGTGGGACTCCCGGACAATTTCCCAGTGGACCCCTGGGACCCCAATGCTTGTGGGACTTCTAGGCAATTTCCCAGTGGACCCCTGGGACCCCAGTACTTGTGGGACTCCTGGACAATTTCCCAGTGGACCCTTGGGACCCCAGTGCTTGTGGGACTTCTAGGCAATTTCCCAGTGGACCCCAGTGCTTGTGGGACTTCTAGGCAATTTCCCAGTGGACCCCAGTGCTTGTGGGACTTCTAGGCAATTTCCCAGTGGACCCCAGTGCTTGTGGGACTTCTAGGCAATTTCCCAGTGGACCCCTGGGACCCCAGTGCTTGTGGGACTCATGGACAATTTCCCAGTGGACCCCTGGGACCCCAGTGCTTGTGGGACTCATGGACAATTTCCCAGTGGACCCCTGGAACCCCAGTGCTTGTGGGACTCATGGACAATTTCCCAGTGGACCCCTGGGACCCCAGTGCTTGTGGGACTCATGGACAATTTTCCAGTGGACCCCTGGGACCCCAGTGCTTGTGGACTCATGGACAATTTCCCAGTGGACCCCTGGGACCCCAGTGCTTGTGGGACTCATGGACAATTTCCCAGTGGACCCCTGGGACCCCAGTGCTTGTGGGACTCCCGGACAATTTCCCAGTGGACCCCTGGGACCCCAGTGCTTGTGGGACTCCCGGACAATTTCCCAGTGGACCCCTGGGACCCCAGTGCTTGTGGGACTCCCGGACAATTTCCTAGTGGACCCCTGGGACCCCAGTGCTTGTGGGACTCCCGGACAATTTCCCAGTGGACCCCTGGGACCCCAGTGCTTGTGGGACTCCCAGACAATTTCCTAGTGGACCCCTGGGACCTCAGTGCTTGTGGGACTCCCGGACAATTTCCTATTTGACCCCTGGGACCCCAGTGCTTGTGGGACTCCCGGACAATTTCCCAGTGGACCCCAGTGCTTGTGGGACTCCCGGACAATTTCCTAGTAGATCCATGGCACCCCAGTGCTTGTGGGACTCCCGGACAATTTCCTAGTGGACCCCTGGGACCCCAGTGCTTGTGGGACTCCCGGACAATTTCCTAGTGGACTTCTGGGACCCCAGTGCTTGTGGGACTCCCAGACAATTTCCTAGTGGACCCCTGGGACCCCAGTGCTTGTGGGACTCATGGACAATTTCCTAGTGG